AAATGTTTTGACCTCTAAAAACCCCTAAACCCTCAAAAATAAATTCTAATACAACATAGTTAATCCAAACACAAATGATATAATGAATAAATAATTTTGAAAAAGTGGTATTTCTAAAAAAATAAAGCATATACAACAAAACTAGATTAACATTAACAAAAGTAAAAAAAAAAATGATAAACAAAACCTATTATATAATGAGAGAGTTTTATCTCCAATTAGAGTGTCCTTTTAAGCCATCCCAATTGTTTTTTACATTAAAACTAGGTGATTCTCCCGCGTACACGCAGATAAATTATTTATGTAGTTTTTTTTTAATTTTTGTCTTTAAAAATGTGAAACATGTAGGTGTTTTGATTTTTTATTAATGACATTGTTGTGGATTCTTTTGTTGTTAACTTTTTTGGTCAATAATATCATTTTTATTAATAATATAAATTTCAAAAATTTAGTTTTATCATTTAATAATTTTATATATGTAAACGTGTCAAATCAAAATATATAATAATTTAATACATTAGAGTTAAAAAATGTTAAATTTGGCTTGTCCGACTATCTTAAGTAGAATTTAGAATACAAATAAATTATTTAATATTTTAAAACATTAAAATCTGTAATCATAAATTTTATAAATGAAACACATATTAAAAAAAAATTGTTGCTTTCGAATTAATTTTTTTTTATTACTTTCAAATTGTCTTGCATTAAAAAAAAACATTTCAAAAGAATAATTATATTTGTTGTTATAAACTTGAAATTTTATTTTCACAAATATATCAAAATCTCTTTTAAAAATTTGGTAAGTCTTTATTATTATTTTCAAAAAGAATATATATTCTATAAAAATGTTCTATAATTTTATTATTACAATAATCAAATTTTAAACTATTTTTAAATGAGATACCAAATTTGTATATAATTTTAGAATAAAAAACGAAAATTATTTAAGATATTGATTAAAAAAATCTTTTGATTTATTTATGGTAACAAATATAAATTTAATTGTGAAATTTTTTGTTATTGATTCAAAGTTGTCATGTCACAATTTTATCAAGTCATGACACAATTGTTTTGGTGAGAATGATTATATAGATGACACATAAGCATGTTCTCACAAATCACTCTTCAATTAATATATAAAGGATCTATGTAAACAACACATTTAGACAATTCGGGTAGTTAAAACCATTATCTAATTAGGCAATTCACATCATTAAAATCATTACGTAAACGAACAATTAACAAAAATTGTAGATAATACTAAAAAATTAGAACACAATATAGTATTAAACAAGCGTATACCAACATAACAAACCATTACCTGGAGGAAACAACTCAGGCAAACGATCCACTGATACATTTAGTAGCATGATTTCTTTGGTTGAACCAACAACATGCGGAATTTGCTTTGAAAATAATTACTATGAGAAAAATGTTTTTTTGACTATAATAACGTGTCAACAACATATATGTTTCTCACATAACACAAAAAAACACCACAATAAAAGATACGTTGAAAAGTGGTACGTACCTCCGCATAATAACTAATGCAAACTTTCGAATTAACAAGACAAACCAAAACATCGTGTAACTATAAAATAAAACATTTACAAAAACCAATCATTTAGGCAATGCAAGGAAACCCTCCAATATTTCAACTTTATTAGGCATGTTCGCATGTTTTGTACTCTTTACTTTACGAATGACGAAGTCTTCTCGCGCATACCCTTTCCTATATACAACCAAGGCTGTGTACGCATGTCTGCATAATTGAACAATATTTGTACATGCATAATTGAACATATTTATTAAATCATATGGGTGTTGTTTTGTTGTGTTTTTCGGCTATAAATAAAATAGCTTTCGTGTTCACCCTTTGATCAAATATAATTCAAGTGAGTTTGCTCGTAATTTTCATTACCATGAGCATCTTTCTTATGTGCTAACCCCTATTTATGCTATAATTTTCATATAAAGATTTATTTCATGGACATTCTAATATGATATGCTACATTATCACTTTGGCTGGCGGTCTTATTGGGTTCTTATACATCTTAGAGAGGTTTCTACTTTGTTTTCCTCTTTATGCACTTTAAAAGCAAATATGATCGCCTTATTTCCTAATGGTGTGACTTTTTTTACTTCCCAGCAAAAATAGTTTTAAAAAAGAAGCTTATTGCGTTTTCAGAGATCCTAACACTTGAAATGCTGAAAACTAGATTCCGGTTCTTACCAAATGCATTTAATGATTGCTTAATTCCAATTAGTCAAACGGATGTCTCACAAAATGTGAAGAACACCATTATCTGCGAGATGTGGAACACAATAATTACTAGTCAAACTAATTGAAAAATGATGACACTTACACATTCGCTTTGTCTATTCTTGTAGTAGTTTAAGTAATACCAGCAATCCGTTTGGTGTGGACTGTTTAGAGGAGAAATTTCTTTTAGCCAAATAATAAACATAAGTATCCAAAAAAATAATACATTTCCAAACTTCAAATCCAGTTTCATATCAAACACTCAGACCTTAATCACTATAAAACATTTCTGACATTGATAAAAACACTCATAAACTAGTTATACTGCCTAAAACCCTTGTTTCATGGACTTTTAACTCAGAGCCGGATTGCTTCCACTACAGTTTTTTAGGGATTGAGTAGAATAACGAGCATACATAACCAATCTGCAACCATTCATAAAAAAACCGGTCTAGTCAAACTAGTTTTAGGATCAGTCTCTAAGGCATGACGGTTTACCTACTCAAATCATCGATTCTGTGCAAGGCTTTAGTCATTAAAAGCCAAAAGAAATAGGACCAGGAACCAGCCTCTATGGTATTTCACACGTTCGAGTATGTTTTTCTTTTGTATTTATCAATCCGTGGTCTATGTGTAGCTAATTTAGTCCCAAAAGCATATTACATATCTCTACTCGGTGATTAATAAAGCAAAAATGCCACAAGTGGATGCCTAGTTATTGTGTTTCACCGGTCAACATTAACCAAATCAATAGTCCACCAACATTCGGGTTTAGCTAATCAAACCAGGAAGCAACTTATCAAGTAATGGACATATGCCTCATCAGCTTCAACATTACAAATGACATATAACATAAGGCCAAGAAGATGTAACAAAGTAGTTTTTAGTTTTGAGGGAATACTGTAGAAAGGGTCAAGATTTGGAGCACTCGGGGCAGGGGAAACAACCTTTGGCTTGGCAATTATCGCAAGCGACTGATTTTGCGTTAGATGATGAGTCGTTGAATCCAAATATTCCTCCTGATTTGATCGATCCTGTCCCTTTGCAGCGTCCACAAGCTACACTCTTAAGATCTCCACATTTTCTACACATACCAAGAGACCTGCAATAGTTTGTTTTGTAGAAACACATGACATGATGATGGTCAGACACAGATTCAAGAATCCCAAATCTACAGTTTCATTCAGCCATAGAGACAACAAACAACAACACTCTAGAACAATTCTTGGAGACATCAGTGGCACAAATGAACAGTCTTAAGACCATGCCTACACTCATTACAAAGGTAAAATTTTTTCAGTATCCAGAATCAAGAATCTCAACATTGTGAGAAGACTTGAAAACAAGTCTAATTCCTTTGAGCATGAGTGAGAGTGAGAGACTAAAGACATAAACCCAACATAGGATTTTGATTCCAAACAAAACATATCACAATGAATTAATAACAATTCTCAAAATTTTCATCAAACAGAGCATAACATCAAGCAAGAGATTCCAAACAGGTTATTACGGTTCTACGCAATTACT